AAATTACATATAAGAGGATGTGAGGGGAAAGGGGGGGAAAAACAAGGGAGAGAATAGAACAATAGTAGATGAGGTAGAGAGGGAAGAGGGAGGGGAGGGGGGGATAGTAGAGGATAGGAAAGGTAGCAGAATACAACAGTCACTAATATGTCATTATGTAAAAATGTGAATGTGTAACCGATGTGATCTTGCAATTTGTATTTGGGGTAAAAATGGGAGTTCATAACCCACTTGAATCAAATGTATGAAAGATGATAGATATGTCATGAGCTTTGTAATGTTTTGAACAACCAATAAAAAAAAAAAAGAGGGAAGACACACACACACACACACACACACACACACACACAAATGGCCATCTTCATGTTCATATGCTGTCCTCTCTGGATCTTCACATTGTCTTCCCTCTAGTTGTCAGTGTGCAAATTTCTGCCCCCCACCCTTTTTTAAGACACCTATTGTGGTCTGGGGTTGTGGCTCAGCGGTAGAGAGCTTGCTTAGTAGTGCGAGGCCCTGGGTTCCATCCTCAGCACCACATAATAATAAATAAATAAAGGTATTGTGTCCAACTACAACTAAAAACAAATATAGTGGATTGGATTGGGAAGCATTATAACAGCCTTACCTTAACTTGATTACCTCTGTAATGACCCTATCTCCAAATGAGGTCTCATTCTGAGGAACTGGGGGCTAGGACTTCAAGATGAGTTTTCTTGGGGAACACAATTGAACCTGTCACATCACCTCTGTTCAGGCCTTTAGATTTCTCACAAATGTCATTGCTGTATCTTCTTAGGYATGTCCCTGCTTCCAGCATTGTCTTGTTTTAACCCAGTCACTCCCTGCTGCCAGAAGATCACATAAAACCTGCTGTGRCATTGGTTTAAACCAAGTCCCTTGTCGTGCCTAAGCCCTTTTTGTTCTGGCCTCTGTCATCCTTCCCAGGCTTGTTTCTGTTGCTCACATAACCTTGCCACAGCCTCAGGAGTCTTGTAGCATGATCAACGTGCCTTTGAGCTGAATAACTCCTGGGGTCTTCAGGCCAGCTGTTGTATTATCTCATCTGAAAAACCTTTCCTAATGTTAGTCTGTTAACATAACTATGCATTAATTTAGAAGTTAAGTCAAGCTGACCCCATTTCTGCCCAGACACCTTTCCCTGCTTCCCCTTCCTTCCCCTTCCTGTAAGAACCCACCCACCCGGAGGCTGGCACCTTTACCCACCTGCACCCTGACCACCGTGCTCACAGACTTTCTCAGTACTACAGGGGCCTGCCAGTTCCAGAAGCTAATGGCAATGTACTAGCTCCTCCAGCCCCCTCCCCTTTGTGGTTCTTGAAGTTTTGAAGCTTGTTCTCCACCTGCAATAGCAAGGGCTAAGCCCACCCCCAATGCATAACCCAGGCTCTGATTTATAAAAGTTTACTTCAGAGGAAGTCTGTTGCTGTTCTCTCTGCGCAGATACAGCCTTGTCAGATTTCCTGACAATAAATTTGCTTCTGCTTAGCTTTGGTGTGTTCGAGTGATTTAGTCCCGCACCACTTTCCTAACCTAACATACCTGGTCTGGGTTTTGTGCCGCTCTTCCGTGACTAGATTCCCTCAGGTTTCCTCTGCCATTCCTCTGTACTGTAAGTTTATTTTTTTATGGGTTTAGCCTCTTTATAACATCTGGATTCTGGGGATTTCTTTCTTTTTTTTATTGGTTGTTCACAACATTACAAAGCTCTTGACATATCATATTTCATACATTAGATTGAAGTGGGTTATGAACTCCCAATTTTTACCCCAAACGCAGATTGCAGAATCACGACGGTTACACATCCACAAGTTTACATAATGCCCTATGGGGATTTCTAATTCAATGGCTCAAGTACCAAAAACACTTATTACACATTTGCTTAATGAATGAGTGAAGGAAGCAATCTTCATTTGGAAAACTGCAACATCACAATGAGTAAATGAGTTGATGTAACATGGAAAACCCTTCCAAGTAGGGGGCAGCATATGGGGTGTGGTAATCAAATATAGTGTGTAATTCTCACACAAACATTCCCTATTAGTGTGCAAAACTAATGTGCTCTAATTAAAAAATAGAGGGTTGGGAAAAATTGCAGTGTCAGAGTGAGTAAGTCAGTGGGTTAACAAGGGCAGGGAGAGGCAGCATAAGGGGTGTGGTCATGGTGTATAACACTCACGCAAGAAAACCTCATTAGTATACAAAACCAATGTGCTCTAATTGAAAAGACAGGGACTTGGAAAAAAATTGCAGTGTCAGAGTGGGGTGTAACAGGAAAAGGAGGAGCAACAGAAGGGGTGTGGCAATTAACTGTGGTCTAAATTCTCACACAAGAAACAAAACTGTGTGTGCTCCAGAAGAAAGTTCTGCTACTCCATCAGTTCTTTTCTTTGCCCAGGAACATGGCCAACAGGAAAGTAATTGCAGTGTTCGGAGCAACAGGTAAAAAACAAAACAAAACAGTTCCTCTGTTTAAGTGCATGCTGATTTTGCTCAATCTCTCTGATTTTAACTTCAGAGCTTGTAAGTGTGGGCTGAACAATGAGCCTTTGGAGAAAATTAAGAAAGACATCCTATTGCTTGTGCTGGTGTGTGTGTGTGTGTGTGTGTGTGTGTGTGTGTGTGTGTGTGTGTAACTGGGGATTGAACCTAGGGCATTGCTTCTTGTTTTGTGTTTTTGATGTGGGGGGGGCAGATTGATTTAACTTGATTTGTAAAGCATGATTTCTGTGGGACAATGGCAACTGACATAGTCTCCAGATAACAAATGACAGCTTCTCCATCTGGGGCTATCCTCTGGAATTCTTTCTCCACTCACTTCCTGATAAATGGCCCGTGTGAGAGGCCTGTGGGTGTGTAGACCAATACTCCATGGGTTCTGAAACGTTGGGAGCATGCCAGAAGCTTGATGCCAGAAAGCTCAGTTCTTATCTTTGTTGCCTAACCAATAATGAGGACAAGGATTTGAGAAAAAGCAAAAAGTTTTATTGATTTGCAAGCAAAGGAGAAACATGGGACTCCTGTCCCAGAGGCTGTGATTCTCTCTGCCAAGGGGAATGCAGGGCTTTTAAAAGAGGGATACAAGGGCTGGGATTCAAATATTATCAGTTACATATAATTAATTAGAGTCCATCGGGTGTCCTTAAGAGAGCCATTCCTCTAGCTTCCAGGCCTAGCATTTCTTTATTCTTGTGGGCAGTGATGTTCTTCTGGGTAGTAAAGGACATGGTAGCTTTTCTGGGACAGGAAAAATGTTAGTTTTGTTTCCTCTACATTTAAGGAGGAAAAGAGGGTGAAGAAGAAGAAGAAGAAAAAAATTATATCAGGGCTAGAGATGTAGCTCAGTGGTAGAGTACTTACCTGGCATGTGCAAGGACCAGGGTCCAATCCTCAGCACACACACACACACACACACAAAATTCAGTTTTAAAATAAGTCACCTAAGGTCAAGTGGCAAGGTTTGCATTCAAAGCATAAAGTGGAACCCTGTTGCATACATGAGGGACCTCTCTCACCTGGGAAGATATTGAATTAGCCTCCCTAATCCTATTCTGGTTTACCTTAAAGTCTGTTCCCTAAAGGAGTCATCTTTGCAAAAATGTTAATCAAACAAGATAATTCCCCTTCTGTTCTCATTTTAGCCTCCTGATGATCCATTCAAAACCCTTGGATAATGCATGTCCTGTCTCTGCTCAAAAATCTCCCATGACCTGCTGCTGCTCTCCAAGGAAAATGCATTCCTGCTAATGGCATGCAATACCCATATCAGTGGACCGCCTWTTCCTCTATCCTCCTCCTTCTGCTCCAGTTACTTTGGTTTTCTTGCTGTTCTTCAAGGTGTTCCCACCTCAGAGCCTTTGTGCTGGCTGCTCCCTCACTGAGGATGATCTTCCCCAGGTACCCACACTTCTTTTCCCTCCCATCATTCAAAGTCCCATCARTGTCACTTTCTGCGRCCAGGTGCAGTGGCACATGCCTGTAATCCCAGTGACTCAGGAGACTTGAGGCAGGAGGATCACAAGTTTGASGCCAGCCTTGGCAACTTAGGGCTGGAGATCTAGCTCAGGGTTAGGTCTCCCTTGGGTTCAATTCTCAATTCCACGGCGGGGAATAAAAGATGTCACTGTGAGGAGTTTCCAGACTTTCATTTTAAAAGTTACAATGCTGTTCCCATCTGGTCACCATCTGGTTCCCTTCCCTGCATGATTTATTCTATTACTATCTGCCTCTCCACACTAGAAAACAAGTTCAATGTGGACAGAGATTTTTGTCTGGAGGAGGGCAAGCACTAAAGCAGAGAGAAAGGTGAAATAGGTCCTCAAAACCAACAGCCAGGGTGGGGGCCCATTGGCAAACACCAGTAATCTCAGCTACATGGGAGGCCAAGCAGGAGGATTTCAAGTTCAAGGCCATATTCAGCAGCTTAGCAAAACCCTGTCTCAAAAAAGAGACACATACTGGGCTGGGGTTGAGGCTCAGTGGTAGAATGCTTACCTAGCATGCGTGAGACACTGGGTTTGATTCTTGGCACTGTATATAAATAAACAAAATAAAGGTCCAAAAAACAAATAAAATTTAAAAACACCAACTTTGTGGAAGCCACAGTTTTTTTTTTTTGTTTTGTTTTTGTTGTTTGTTTGTTTTGTGGTGCTGGGGATTGAACCCAGGGCCTTGTGCATGCGAAGCAAGCACTCTAGCAACTGAGCTATATCCCCATCCCCTTGAAGCCACA